CACAGGCGAACCGTCTCCGCCATTGCCCTCTCGCCCCCTTCCCACGACGGCAGGTTGTGATTCTAGAGTTGCCTGGCGCCCCTTTCCTCCCCGACTCCAATCTCCGCGGATCTACGTCCTTCCTCGCGGAGAGCACTCTTACTCCCCCGCGCGAGAAATAATCCTGGGTATTGCGCCTTCCGTGACGTCTATGTTTTAACGTCTGAGCTGGGGCAGCTGTGTGGGCATGTTCTATTTGCCGGCCGGGGAGACAGCGTCTGCCGTTTCCGCTGATTAATTTCTGCGCGCCGCGATTTATTGCGGGTATAATGGATAATGTTTGTAGGATTTGTTAAATTCCGTTCCGCGAAGAATTTGCTAAAACGTTCTCAACTAATTTTAACGATCTCAACCGAATGAGCATGGCAAAGGAAGGAAATATGCAGATCGAAAGACGAAGGATGGAATGTACGTTTCTCGCGTGGTGTACAGTTAAATACAGTTGAAATAGGTTAAGAACAACAGTGTTTCATTGCCCAAGATCAGCCATCCTCTTGCGCATTCCTCGTTCAATCCACTCGCCGAGTACAAAGATCCGAGGCACTCTCCGCGCGCGAAAAGCGTTTTAACATCGCACAATATCTTCGCCTCCGCGGGATGACGACGTCAACACAGATCTCGGCTACGGGGAAATCCGTGAACATCGTCGGCGCACGGCATTGTGCATTGGAAATCACGGGTACGCTTGTGCTCCGGCGAGAAGTATCGATCAACGTTCCCGCTCGACGAGTCTGATACCGGCTTTGCACGTTTTTCTTCCTTTTCCGCTCAGGCGGCGCAGTCAGACTGTCACGCGGGCGTTCTTTGGAAAATAGTGTCTTCCCGGTGGGGGGGGGTGGCTTTTCGAAGAAAGTTAAAAGGCGAGTGCAATTTTATCGGCGCGCGGCCTGCCGCGCGGGGCGCTCGGAGGGGAAAAACATTTCACCTCTCAGCGATTAAGGTGGAGATATAAGCAAAATAGAAGCGGGCTGCCGGGCGTATGCATGAACGCGTCGCTAGAATCCGCGACGTCGACGTCGGCGCGCTGGCTGCAGGGCGGAGGGTGGGAAAGAGAGAGAGAGAACGACGCAGAGGAGAGACAGGACGGCCAGGGTGCCGGCGGAGTGGAAAGACGGAGAAGGGAAAGAAAGCGGAGAGAGGTTGCCGCCGTCAGGAAACTTTTGTTTAAAATTGGAATTCCTTTGCGGCTCGTTGGGACTAGGAATGCAGATAGGGCGGAGGCGACGAAAACCGTGAGAGTGGATGAGACAGGAGGAACAGAGAGAGCCGACGGCGCGGCACGGGAGGGGGCAGCTGGAGAAAGGCAACGCACGATATTGTTTCATCATAAAGGGAAGCTTCTTACCCGCGAGGGAATACTTTTTGAGAAAACTCGGGGCCGAAATTTGAACGGCGTGTCGACAACGCCGCGACAGGGGATGAATCCTGACGTCGAGTACACTCGCGCGCCCCTTGCCGTGGCGTTCGCGCGTTCCTACGGCGGCCGGGAATCCGGTCACAGATGGTCAAAGAAACTCGCAACACTTTTCCCGTGGAGCTTCGAGCGTTGGAACTTTCAGCGTTACTTCGCTAATAAGGATGTCTCGGTCGCCGGCAAGAAGAATGCGATGATCA